ATATTGAAGAGATATGGATAGAGTGGACAGCTTTGTCTTGTTCCTGATTTCAGAAGAATCACTTTGAGTTTCTCTCCATCTAGTTTGATGTTGGCTGTTGGTTTGTTGTATATTGCCTTTATTATGTTTTGATATGTTCCTGTTATCCCTGATTTCTCCTAGACATTTATCACGAAGGGATGTTGGATTGATTCTGTCAAAGGCTTTTTCAGCATCTAGTGAGATGGTCATGTGATTTTTCTTTATCAGTTTTTTATATGGTGGATTACATTGACAGATATTCAAATGCTGAACCATCCCTGCATCCCTGGGATGAAGCCTATTTGATCACGGTGGATGATTGTTCTGATGTATTCTTGGATTAGGTTTGCCAGTATTTTATTGAGTATTTTTGTGTCAATATTCATGAGAGATATTGGTCTGTAGTTCTCTTTCTTATTTGTGTCTTTGTGTGGCTTGGGTACCAAGGTTATTGTAGCCTGGTAAAAAGAGTTTGGCAATGACCCTTCTGCTTCTCTTATGTGGAATACTTCGAGAATTGGTGTTAGCTATTCTTTGAATTTCTGGTAGAATTCTGTACTCACTAAAGCCATGTCTCCCTGGGTTGGGAGAATTTTGATGACTGCTTCTACTTCATTAGGGGTTATAGGTTTATTTGAATTGGTTATCTGTTCTTGATTTAATTTTGGTAAATGATATCTAACCAGAAAATTGTCCATTTCCTTTAGATTTCTGAATTTTGAGGAGTACGGGTTTTCAAAGTATGACCCGATGATTCCCTAGGTTTCCTCGGTGTCTGTTGTTATGTTCCCCTTTTCTTTTTTCTTTCTTTCTTTTTTCTTTTTTTTTTTTTTTTGGTTTTTCAAGACAGGATTTCTCTGTATTGCTTTGAAGCCGGTCCTAGAACTCACTCTGTAGACCGACCAGGCTGGCCTCAAACTCACAGAGATCTGCCTGCCTCTGCCTCCCAAGTGCTGGGAATAAAGGCACGTGCCACCAACACCCACATTGTTCCCCTTTTCATTTCTAATTTTGTTAATTACATGCTCACTCTCTGCCGTTTGTTAAGTTTGTATAGATGTTTATCTCTCTTGTTGATTTTCTCAAAGAAACAACTCTTTGTTACATTGATTGTTTGTATTGATTTCCTACTTCATACTTTATTGATTTCAGCCCTAAATTTCATTATTTCCTGGTGTCTATTCCTCCAGGGGGAGTTTGCTGCTTTTTGTTCTAGAACTTACGGTTGTGCTCTTAATTCTCTAGTGTGACTATTCTCCAGTTTCTTCATATGGGCACTTAATGCTATGAAATTTCCTCTTAGCACTGCTTTCAAAGTTTCTCATTAGTTTGGGTTTGTTGTGTCTTCATTCTCATTGAATTCTAGGAAGTCTTTAATTTCTTTTTTTATTCCTTGTCCCAAGAATGGTACAATTGCACATTATTCAATTTCCATGAGTTTGTAAGTTTTCTGAAATATGTGATGTTGTTTAAAGAATTCTAACTTTAAAGCATAGTGGTCTGATAAGATACAGGGGGTTATTCCAGGATTTTTTGTATCTATTGAGGTTTGCTATGTTGCCAAGTATGTGCTCGATTTTAGAGAAGGTTTCATGTGGCGCTGAGAATAAGGTATATTCTTTTGGGTTTGGACAGAATGTTCTATAGATGTCTGTTAATCCCAATTGGGAAGTAACTTCTATTAGTTCCTTTGTTTCTCTGTTAAGTTTCTCTCGGTGGTCCTGTCTAGTGGTTAGAATAGGATGTTAAAGTTTCCCACTATAAGTGTGTATGGTTTTATGTGTGATATGAGTTTTAGTAATATTTCCTCAATAAACATGGATGCCTTTGGGGCATCAATGTTCAGAATTGAGACTTGATCTTGATGGATTTTTTTCCTGGGATGAGTATGAAATGACATCCTTCATCTCTTTAGATTGATTTTAGTTTAAAGTCTAATTTGTTAGCTATTAGGATTGCTATCCCCGCTTGTTTCTTGGGTCCATTTGATTGGAAAATCTTTTCCTAACCCTTAACTCTGAGATACCATCTGTCTTTGCAGTTGAGGTGTATTTCTTTTATGGAGCAAAAGGAAGGATTCTGTCTTCTTATTCATTCTGTTAGCCTGTGTCTTTTTACAGGCGAGTTAAGACCATTAATATTTAGGGATATTAATGACCATTGATTGTTTTTTTTTTTTTTTTTGGTTTTTTCGAGACAGGGTTTCTCTGTGTAGCTTTGGAGCCTATCCTGGCACTCACTCTGGAGACCAGGCTGGCCTTGAACTCACCGAGATCCACCTGCCTCTGCCTCCCGAGTGCTGGGATTAAAGGGGTGCGCCACCAATGCCCGGCTGATTGTTCATTCTTGTTTGTTTTTGGATTTGGTGGTGGTGGTGGAATTGTGTGTGGATTTCCACTGCTTTTTTCTTTTGCCTGTTGGTAAATTGGGATTATCTATTGCCTATGTTTTTCTGATTGTAGTTAACTGCCTTGGGTTGGAGTATTCCTTCCAGAACTTTCAGTAGGGATGGATTAGTGAATGTGTATCATTTAAATCTGGTTTTGTAATGGAGCAACTTGTCTTCTCCATCTATAGTGATTGAAAGCTTTGCTGGGTGTAGTAGTCTGGGCTGGCATCCATGTTCCCTTAGTGTTGGTAGAATATCTATCCAGAACCTTCTGGCTTTCAGTGTTTCCATGGAGAAGTCAAGTTTAATTTTGATAGGTTTGTCTTTATATGTTACTTGTCCTTTTTCCTTTGCTGCTCTTAATATTCTTTCTTATTTCTGTATGTTTGGGGTTTTGAATAATATGTGTTGAGGGGACTTTATTTTATGGTCCACTCCATCTTGTGTTCTGTAAGCTTCTTGCACTTTCATTGGCATGATTTTCTTTAGGTTGGGAAAGTTTTCTTCTACGATTTTGTTGAATATGTTTTCTGCACCTTTGAGGTGGGCTTCTTCACTTTCTTTTCTGTTATTCTTAGGTTTGGTCTTTTCACGGTGTCCCATATATCCTGGATATTTTGTGTTAGGAATTCGTTGGACTTAAGATTTTCTTTGGTTGATGAATCTATTTCTCCTAGTGTATCTTCAACACCTGAGATTTTCTCTTCTATCTCTTGTATTCTGTTGGTTATGCTTGCATCTGTAGTTCCTGAACATTTACCCAGCTTTTCTGTTTCCAGAATTCCCTCAGTTTGTGTTTTATTTATTGTCTCCATTTCAGTTTTCACGTCTTGAACTGTTTGAATTGTTTCCTTCATCTGTTTGTTTTTTTCTTGGCTTTCCTTAAGAGAATGGTTGGGGTTTTTTTGTATCTTTTGATTTGTTTTTTCTTCCATTTCTTTAAGAGATTTTCTCATGTCCTCTTGGAAGGTCTCTATCATTTGCATGAAGTTGTTTTTAAGGTTATTCTCTTCTGCTTCATCTGTGTTGGGATGTTCAGGTCTTGCTGGTGTATAATCCCTAGATTCTGGTGCTGTCATAGTGGTTTTTCTGTTGTTGAATGTTTTTATATTGTCTTCTTCCCATCCCTTCTTCCAGTGGGTGCAGAAGGAGTCTCTTCCTCTCCTGTTGGGTAAGGGATCAAGGTTCCCTTCCAGTGGGTGCAAGCAGGTCCAATATTCTAATGGCTCTCCTCTTCCCGTGCATGAAGGCAGGGCTAGTACTGGGACCTTTATTTGTGGGCTGCAGTGCTGGGATGGGTTCCCCAATGGGCAGTCCCCAGGCTTCAAGTGGCTCTGAGCCAGGCACCAGAAGGCGGGCCGGAGCAGCATGGAAAACTTTATTATAAAAGTGTTATGTCATAAAAAAAAGTGTTATGTCATGAGGAAACGAGAATCACTACCTTAGGGCATCCCATTCCTTTACCTCTTTTCATGCTCTCATTTTGAAGGAGATTCCTCCAAGATGGAAGGATTTAATCCAAGAGAAACAAATATACAATAATCACTACTGGGTATGATCTCTAAGAACTTGCTGTCTTACCAATGAGCACTTGCCCATCATTTTCCTTTAATCATTGTATAATGGAGATGGAATCAAACTAGATGTCTATGAACAGAAACATGGGTAATTGAAAAAAGTGATACTTATCTATATAACTCAACATATTACTCAGGTGTAAATAAAAACCTACGACCCAAAAGTCAAGCATCACATGTTCTCTCATGTATGTGTCTAAGCTACAAACTTTGTGTTCTACTAAGACTACATGTAGAACCAGGAATATAGAAATGGACCAGGATTAATGTGAATCAATCTTGTTTCTAATTCAAATAAAAAAAATGGCAAAAAAAAAAATGGACCGTTAGCGGGAGAGGGTGGATAGTACAATATAGGTGATATGAAAATTTGAAAGTGAGATTTGTGGGGCAGGGAGAATGTTTCAAATAATGAGTGGTGAAGAGAAGGGGCTCTTGAAAGGCCAACCAAATGAAATGATCATGAAGCTACATGGGAGGCTATCATTTTGAAATCAGGTGGTTTGACTATTCTATGAAGATATTGAAGGTGAATAAAAGGTATGGATTTGTCAGTGTTTTCTTTAATAATGAATTTTCTTTTATCTCTACAATTTAAACACTACATAAATTATTTGTCAATTCAATGCATTTGGGGAAGTCTAATTTCCAATGACAAAAGGATATGGGGAGTATATATTCTATAACTTTATATGGTTTCTCAGAAGTATGAATTCTGTGATGTATATCACAATTAGAGGGAAAATGAAAGGTTTTGTCATATTTTTATATTACTTTTTAATTTGTTTTTGACAAAGTGATTATGTAGTCCTGGCTGTCCAGGAACTCAGTATGGAGATGATGATGTCCTCCATTCACAGAGATCTTCATGCCGGTGCATCCTGAGTGCTGGAAATAAAGGAGTGCACCACCACACCTGGCATTATTATGAATTTCTGGATCTTGAGCAAGATAATTTTTAATTTAAATTAGAAATAATCTTGTTTTACATGTCAATACCAGTTCACTCTCCCTTCCAAAGACAATTGTTTTTATTAATTTTTTATCAGATGCTGGAGACATGGTGTAGTGGGTAAGCAACAATGGTTATTAAACCCAGAGGACCAGGGTTTAATTTCCAACACATGCACAGCAGTTCACAGTGGTCTATAACTGCACCTTCAGGGAGCTGATGCCACCTTCTGTCCTCCACCAGCACCAGGTATAAATGCAGCACAGACATACTTATATACAGGCAAAACATATATACACATTAAAAGAAATAAAAAGCTTTTCCACAGTTACATCTGCAAAATTTTACTTTAATATAAACTCTATGATATTTTTTAACATTTAAAACTTCATTAAAGCCTTTTACAAATTTCTTATCTTTATGTTTCCATTTTACACACTGTTGTGATTTGTAGGCAAAGAATATCAGAAAATGCTATGTCAAGTTATTTAAACAGTAGGTTTCTCTTCCATGTGAATTTTCTAATGTCTCTTAGGAGTCAAAATCTGGAGAAAGGATACATCTGTCTTTGCATTTGTATGGTTTCTGTCCATTATGGATTTTCTGATGTCTCCGTAAACCAGAAGAGTGGACAAAGGATTTGTCACATTCCTGACAACTGTAAGGTCTCTCTCCAGTATGAACTCTCTGATGTGTTCTAAGATGGGAGTCCTGTGTAAAGGATTTGTCACATTCCATACATTTGTAAGGTTTTTCACCAGTGTGAACACTATGGTGTCTTCTAAGATTTGAGCAACTGGTAAAGGATTTGCCACAGTCCTTACAACTGTAAGGTCTCTCTCCAGTATGAACTCTCTGATGTCTTCTAAGACTTGCAATATGAATATAGGATATGTCACACAGTTTGCATTTGTGAAGTTTCTCTCCAGTATGAATTTTCTGATGTGCTCTAAGATATGAACAGCTAGTATAAGACTTGGCACATTCCTTACATCTATAAAGTTTCTCTCCAGTGTGAACACTCTGATGTCTTCTAAGATCTGAGTGTTTGGTAAAGGATTTGTCACAATCCTTACATTTGTGAGGTTTCTCCCCAGTATGAATTTTCTGATGTGTTCTAAGTGTTGAGTTCCAGGTAAAGGATTTGTCACATACCTCACATTTGTAAGGCTTTTCACCAGCATGGACTCTGTAGTGCCTGTTGAGATGTGACAATTCAAGAAAGGACTTACCACATTCTTTGCACTTGTGAACATTCTCCGGAGAATGAGTTTTCTTATGCCTATTCAATGATGAATAGTGTGGAAAGGCTCTGTCACACTCAGTGCACTTGTAAAGCTTCTCTCCAGTATGGAGTCTGTAATGGCTTTTAAAGTGTGAAAGCTGATGAAAGACCTTGCCACATTCTTGGCAACTATAGTGTCTCCCAGCAGTGTGCATTTTCTGGTGTCTCCTGAAATTGGAATAGTGGGCAAAAGATTTGTCACATTCCTTACATTTGTAAGGTTTCTCTCCAGTATGCAATTTCTGATGGCTATGAAAGGCTGACAACTGAGGAAATGATTTTCCACACTCTTTGCATTTGTATGGTTTTTCCCCAGTGTGAAGTCTCTGATGTGTTTTAAGACTTGACCACTGGGTAAAAGATTTTTCACAATCTTTGCACTTGTAGGGTTTAATTCCCTTATGTATTCTCTCATGGATAGTGAGGCATGAGGCAGTACTGTAGCATTTCCCACATTTCTCACACTGGTGTGGTGTCTCTCCAATGTAGATTGGTTGTTGCAAAAGCCTGTATGCAGCGCTCAAAGAATCATCATATTCTCCCTGCCTGTTCTTTTTCTTTACGGTGTACAGTCTCTGATCTTCAGTAATGCTGGAACACGAATTTAAAGATTTCTCACAGTCTTTTGATCTGAGAGGTTCTTCTCCAGTGTGCCTGCTTTCATGTCTGTCTGGGTTTGATGAGTCAACAGAGGCATCCCTGTCATTACTGCATGTGTAGTTATCAGAGTTTTCTGTAGTTTCACTTGTTCTATAAAGTGTACATGTGGAGGGTTCATGAAGCATTTTGCCAGACTTATTACACTGACAAGACTCTTTTTCATTCTTCACATGGTGATGGACAGAATCACACTTGCAATAGTTCTCTGAAAATAAGTACAGTTCAGATTTAATAGGGCTTGTTTTAATAATAAAAATGTGATAAATGATTGCCTTCCTAAGTTGTCATTTAACATAAGCGAACATGGAACTATTCAGATTAGAGCTCCCAATACTCAACAACATATTTCATCCACTGTAACTGTATGGAGTCTCACAAACACAGCATGACAGCCTTCAAAGGTCAGTGAGTTATAATAAACATCTCATCTTTATCCAAAATCACTAACTGGGAAAAGGAAGTTAAAAATAATGTAGTTTGATTAATTAGCTTTGTTGTAGAGCTCACTGAGTGATTTTATTTGAATACATGTCTGTATCTTAAATATTTCTTCTCAGAAATTGATATCGAGGTGTTTAACGCCTAGGTTCATAGTATTTATACTAAGTGATAGGCAATGAAGAGTTCTCTCTCTCTCTCTCTCTCTCTCTCTCTCTCTCTCTCTCTGTCTCTCTGTCTGTCTGTCTGTCTTTTGTACACCAACTCCTGAGATTATGTTCCAAAAGGGTGTCTGTGTATTCGCCACCGGGGGGAAAAAGAAGGACACAATATGAAGATATGCATAACAAGGAAGGCAATTACAGAATAATCTTATGTCATGGGCTCACGTTAAGACTTAGAATTTTGTAAGATTACTCTAATCTGATTTCAGCACAGTCAAACAAAACCGCATTTTGTACTGGTATTAAATCACCAGAATTCAGGTGTAATAAGACACAAGCCCTATGGACAGTTATTACAACAGGCATGATGCATCCTGGGGCCAGGATACTCCACCAAATTAAATGATCAGGAATCCTTTCAAGAGGAATTAAAATTCAAAGAAACAAAACAAAACCTGAGGTGGGAGCTTTTACTCATGCATTTTGTTTTTCATCTCTATTTTGCAGCTTATGCTCCAAAGGACAATACAGTGTGTTTTCTTAAAGTGAGCCTCACTTCTGAATTCGGAGTGATTTGTGTTTATACAAAGGATCTGGGATCCATTTCATATTGTTCATGCAGGAACACTATGTAAATGAAGTTCCTTTCATATTGTTCATGCAGGAACACTATGTAAATGGAGTGCCTTTCATATTGTACATGCAGGAACCCTATGTAAATGGAGTGCCTTTCATATTGTACCTGCAGGAACACTATGTAAACGAGTGCCTTTCATATTGTACATGCAGGAACACTTCGTAAATGAGGGACTTTTGTTCTCATACTTTAGTCATAGCACAGTCCTACTGTAGGCATATGAACATCCTGAAGTCCTCTTTACTGTTTTAAAGATATGAAATATGAGATTTATTCACTAAAGCAGGGCTTCAAAATTTTGGGGAAAGTCTGACAGTGTATCATGTGAATTCAGATTTACCTCACATACTAAGAATTACATTTAGATATGAAAAAGGAAAACTTGTTTTGATCTCAGGTATAAAAATAGACTGTTTTGAGTTTTGTGTAGTAGTAGACACCTGAAAAGTTACAGTTTGTTACTAACAGTTATTTTGAAAATCCTGCCTTGGATTAATTCTTGATGACTGCACTGCCACTCATTCTGCCATACATGCAGAACCAAGTTCATGTCGATCCTGAAATGCTAGGAAAGATGAGTTGGTATTTATCACCTTTGTTTACATTTTGCATCTGTCCAATTTAGAGCTACCAAAGTAGATTGGTTTGAACAATAACCATTGCTTAATTCTTACAATTAAATTTGGTAACTAATGAAAAACAAAACAAAACAAGAGGATTTCAGCATTGAAAACTTGTTCTCAGCTCTGGCTTTCTCTTTCACTTGAAGCCTTCACTGTTTGCCTGCTCATTCACTAATCCACCCTAGCTGTGGTTCTCTCTCCTCTCCACATCCCAGGGCAATCTCATTCTTTCCAGACAGATGACCATGCCTGGCCTGATACAATAATCCACATGTTCTTTGAGACAGCAATGAACCATGACTGAACTTTTAGAAAGAATACAGAAGTCTAAGACAGTCCTGTGCTCAGTACATGAAAATACAAACACGAATTTAAACAGGATTTCCTGATTGATGTTTGGCGAATTTTTGAGTATAATTAGTATTTTCAGTTTGGATATCTTGAATTTTCCTCATAATTAAATCCATGTTAATTGCAATAATGGACATGGAGCTTTAAGATATGAATGGAAATATTATATGCTACTGAGTCCATGGATGAATCTTGGAACCCGGATGAAGGGTGGATGACAGCTCTGATATGGAAAATGGAAAGAGAAAAATGAATAGCATAAAAATGTTCTTTCCAACAACTAAACTTTGCCTTGACTCTCGTTGGGTTTTTTTCAGCACAGCTTAACAGATTTTACATTTTATGAAGTCAGAACAAACAAATGATGGGTGATGAATTCTAGAAGCAAAATGTTCTCACCCACAGACAGCAGGTTGTTGTAATTCTCCAGCATCACATCAATGTACAAAGCTCTCTGAGCAGAGTCCAGGCATTCCCACTCCTCCTGGGGGAAGTCCACAGCTACATCCCCAAATGTCAACAGACGCTGAAACAAAAACATATGGTTTGACCACTTGCTACCTGGATGTCTTTCCTGGATATACAGAGATGGAATGTAGCCGAGTGAAGGTCATTACTAAAAATGATGATTTCTAATACACTCCTATTCTATCATGAATATTCTAACTCTGTGAAAACAGGATGACACAAGTCTTAAAAGTATACAAGCGACAGTGGAGATGTCTCGGCGCTTGATGCACTATAAAATCTCCTTTCTGCACAGCGGCACTCGGGAAACACCAAACGGCTGATGACGCCAGTGCAGCAGGAGGGCCTGGAGGACCCGGGCCTAGAGGGCCAAGGTGGGCTTCCAAAGGCTTCTGCAATGGTCTCAGGGGCCGAGGCCCTGGCAGTGGTCAAAGTTGCAGGGTTGTGATGGTAAAGCCAAAGACAGGGAGTAGATCCTTGTCACCATGCTGGGCCGCCTGGTTAAGGACATGAAGATCAAGTCCCTGGAGGCGCTCTACCTGCCCATTAAGGCTTTTGTCGATACTGGGGACTACAATGGTCATGTTGGTCTTGGTGTCAAGTGCTCCAAGGAGGTAGCCACTGCCATACCAGGGGCCATCATCTTGGCCAAGCTTTCCTCTGTGCCTATGTGGAGAGGCTATTGGGGAAACAAGATTGGCAAGCCACACTCACACTGTTCCATGCAAAGTGACTGGCCACTATGGCTGTGCTGTGTTGGTCTCATCCCTGCCCCCAGAGGCACTGGCATCCTCTCTGCTCCTGTGCCCAAGAAGCTACTTTGATGGCCAATATTGATAACTGTTACACATCAGCCAGAGGCTACACAGCCTCCCTGGGCAACTTTGCCAAGGCCACCTTTGATGCCACCTCCAAGACCTACAGTTATCTGATCCCCAACCTCTGGAAAGAGACTGTGTTCACCAAGTCTCCTTCACTGACCACCTTTTGAAAGCCCACACAGAGGATCCAGGCTCTAGCTGTGGCAACCACATAAGGGTTTTTATACAAGAAAAATAAAGTGAATTAAGTCAGTAAAAAAAAAGTGTATGAGGCCAGTAGTGGTGGTGCATGACTTTAATCCCTGCATTAGGTGAATTCAAGGCCAGCCTAGTTTACAGACAAAGTTCCAGGACTGCCAGGGCTACACAGGGAAACTCTGTCTTAAGAAAAAATAAACCAAACCAAAAAAACTGCCATGGGATACATGATACGCTGTCTCAATAAAAAAAACAAACAAACAGGCAGTATACATGAAACAATATACACATTTAAGGTCTGGACACAGTTATCTATCTGTTATGAATACTGTATTTATGTTACACAGAATCACAGCAAACATGTCTCAAAAGGAATATTCAAGATGAAATAATATGCTTTAATTGCTGTACCTATAGATCATGCTAAAACATTGACACCAATCAAGCGTATGCTTACTTGGGCCTAACATAAATCTACTGTAACAGGTTCAGATGAGATATTTAACTCTAGGTACAATGACACATCATTAAATAACAAAGGGGTAGGAATAGAAAATAGAATATATGGCTGATTTTATAGACAAGATTATTTTTTCCACAGTAGCAAGGATGAAACAGCACTACACACTGTCATTTTTAACATTAACATATAAGATAAGCAGTTTATGGAATTAATCTGATGAGAATATTTGGGCCACTATGAAGAGTCAGAAAAATTGGTATCTGCCATATTTGATATAATCCAAATTATTCCTAAGACTATGCATACACCAACAGAGGCAAATAACAATCTCAGAAGTTTTGAAAAATATTTCACTTCACCCCTAAAGAGTAAAACAATTGAGGGAAGTCGAAAAGCACAACAAACACTGTTTATGGTATACCTAAGAGAATCAATACCAGTGATACCTCGGATAAGGGTCACAGCAACAATTTACCAAAAACTAAAATAATTAAATTCCCAAGAAAGCAAAAGCTTTCAGAATTCCAAAAACATCACCATGGAAATGCAAAGTAAAGCTACTTGGAAATAGTGCCTCACCCCAGGCAGAATGGCTATCACCAACTACTAACCTGACAAGAAATGTTTGAGGGGATATGGAGATAAAGCATCCTTATTCACTGTTGATGGATGGAAGGGTGGGAATTATAACAGAGATTGCAGGAATCAATTTGGATAGTATTGAAGAAAATTGAAGAAAGACCTAACATATGACCTAGCTTTTTCACTCCTTGCCATATACCTAGAGAACAACTCAACCCACCACAGAGCTATTTATACCTCATGTTTCCTGCTATTTTAATCACCAAAGGAAAAGTACTGCAATCACACTAATTACCTATCAACAGATGAATGGATTATGAAAATTGTATAAAATGGAATACTATTCATCTGGGGAGGAAAAAAGGACTCAAAAAGGGATATTGACTGTGGTCATACACTTCTAAAAAGAAGGCACCACATTTACTCTCATAGGCAGAATCTGCCCAATCATATATGTATATTGAAACAATGTATATGTGGGCAGAGTAAAACTCAGAGAAAAGAGAACAGCTAAGAATAAATTATCAGGGACTGAATACAGGTAATGAACACCAGCTATGGAAAAGGATATTAAGCTAAGAGCTTTTCTAGTTCTAATTCTGTAAAGGTTTTTGGGGTGTGGGTGGTGGGTATGTAAATCTTCTGTTCCCTGTGATGACTCTACCTGAATGAACTACGTTGAGTTGTATAGTCTTTGGGTCTGCTTAATTTCAGTGTGTGATTTTGTTGTTTCTCTGTTTGCAGAATCGTTCATAAATAAAATTTCAAAGAATTGTCAGATGCAGGGAATTAAAGGCTTTTATGACATAAATGCATTACATCTTTAGATAAAGAATGGAACGGACCACTGACCTGCAAGAGCTTTTCTGGAGAATCAGCCATTTCTTATGTTTTTTCTTCTTTGAGTTTCTCTTTCAGGAGTAATGAATAGATGGCTTGCTTCCCTTTCGAATCAAAGGGGAAAAGTTAGAATTAATACTGAAAGCTATTACTGAGCAATGTCAAACTACCTGAAAATATGCAAGCAACAGAATTGTACCAGATGTCTGGTCAATGATCCCAAAGTCAGGAGAGCATGGAAGACACCACCATGAAGAGAAAACCACCATCATGCATCTTCTTATACAAAGAAGACTACTGTCTTAAAATTGATGGAGACATAAGTTCATTTCAAGGCAGTCACCAATAAACACGATTGATTTCACTGAAGCAGCACCGCAGACAGTAAATTAGAGGCGAAACATACACAGGAGAGTCAGAGGAATCATCCATGAGCACATGGGAAATAGTAAATTTCATGTGAAGAATGGATGCAAACAGGAGAATTAGGAAAAAAATCATCCATGAGTCCCAGGATAGGGCTGTGTAGAGACCCTGTCTCCAGAAAATACTTGGTATCTTCTGTTCCTCCTCCCTCCCTCCTGTTGCTCCTTGTCTTCCCTAACAGTTTCTCCTCCTATGCTTTCATGTGTGTTTTACTTTAAGGAAAGTATTCCACTGTGTGAGGATGTTTATACATTCACATGCCATCACCATGATCATAGGAACACAGACATCTGATTTCAACTACCTTGGGAACATACCCAAGAATAGAATTGCTGGATCATGTATGGTGGTTTTACTTTTAGTTTTATGAGGAAGATCCACACTATTTTCCATGCCTGTGCTAACTTATTAGTGCCATCAGCATATCAATGCTCCTTGTTAAAGATTCTATGGAGGATTGGGGGTGTGGGATTGATGTCAAATAAGATTGTTTCTAATTTAAATTAAAAAAATCTAAGAAAGTGGGGGTGGTGGTGGTGGCATATGCCTTTAATCCTACAGAGAAACCCTGTTTGGAAAAACAAAAACAAAACAAAACAACAACAAAAAGATTCTAAGAGTCTAGCAACAAAAGAATATACCTTCTTCTTAGCACCACATGGAACTTCTCTAAAATGGACCACATACTTGGCAACATAGTAAACCTCCACAGATACAAAAAAATTGAAATAACTCCCTGTATCTTATCAGACCACCATGCTTTAAAGTTAGAATTCAATAACAACACAACTTGCAGAAATCCTACAACCACATGGAAGTTGAATAATGTACCACCCCTGGGTCAAGAAAGAAATTAAAGACTTCCTAGAATTTAATGAGAATATAGACACAACATACCCAAACTTATGGGACACTTGGAAAGCAGTGCTTAGAGGAAAGTTCATAGCACTAAGTGCCCACATAAAGAAACTGGAGAAAAGTCACACTAGAGAATTGACAGAACACCTGAGAGCTCTAGAACAAAAAGAAGCAAACTCACCCAGGAGTAGACACCAGGAAACAATCAAACTGAGGGCTGAAATCAATAAAACAAAGAGTTGGTTTTTCGAGAAAATCAACAAGACAGACAAACCTCCATCCAAACTAACCAAAAGGCAGAGAAACAGCATGCTAATTAACAAAATCAGAAATGAAAAGGGAGATATAACAACAGACACTGAGGAAATCCAGAGAATCATCAGGTCATACTTTGAAAACCTGCACCCCACCAAATTAAAAAATCTAAAGGAAATGGACAATTTTCTGGATAGATATCACTTAACAAAATTAAATCAAGAACAGATAAGCAATTTAAATAGAACTAAAACCCCAATGAAATAGAAGCAGTCATCAAAAGTCTCCCAACCAAAAAAAGCCCAAGGCCAGATGGCTTCAGTGCAGAATTCTACCAAAAATTCAAACAAGAGCTAATATTAGTACTCCTCAAATTGTTCCACACAATAGAAGCAGAAGGGACATTGCCAAACTCTTTTTACGAGGCTACAATTACCTTGATACCCAAGACACACAAAGATAAAACTAAAAAAGAGAACTACAGACCAGTATCCCTCATGAACATCGATGCAAAAATACTCAACACAATACTGGCAGAAAAAATCATCAAAGCCAGGTGGTGGTGGCGCACGCCTTTAATCCCAGCACTTGGGAGGCAGAGGCAGGCGGATCTCTGTGAGTTCGAGCCCAGCCTGGTCTACAAGAGCTAGTTCCAGGACAGCCTCCAAAGCCACAGAGAAACCCTGTCTCAAAAACAAAACAAAACAAAACAAAAAAGAAATCTGTCTGAAGAGAAAGCAGTGCAGCTTCATTCGCCCACCCTCACCCTTACTGGAGCACATGCATCCGCTCTGTAGCTACCAGAATCCTGATTCTGGTATTCCAGTGTGGACTGAAGACTTGTCCACAAGGCTCGGATCTGAAGGATCTAGCCTCCTGGGCTGGGCAGCTGCTGCTTCTCGGCCTCTGGACATCGTGTAGACAATCACTGTTGGACTACATGACTCATGGTGTAAGACAGTCTAACAAACAGCCTTAGAATATACATTCATTCTATCAGTTCTGTTTCTCTAGAGCTCTACTACAAACATCCACAAAAATGAAATAATAAAGTCTATTTCCTTGTGTAATTAATACATGCTATTAAAAATATTTGCGGGCTGGAGAGATGGCTCAGCAGTTAAGAGCACTGACTCTTCTTCCAGAGGTCCTGAGTTCAATTCCCAGCAACCACATGGTGGCTCGCAACCACCTTGAATGAGATCTGGTGTCCTCTGCTGGCATGCAGGCAGAAGACTGTATACATAATAAATAAATAAAATAAAATTTAAAAAATATTTGCAACAACAAACAAATCATCCATGAGAAGGACAGCAAACCACTATTTCTCAAAAAGAAGGAAGAATTATTACCAATAATCCAAAGAGCTACAACATAAAAACAAAACCATAGGAAATTAAAATGCCATGAACAAAAAAACTAGCCACACTGAAAATCAAAATACAAAATCCTCAGTTAAATGAACAAGCCCTCAAATTAAATACGTTCAGCACCTGGCCCAGGCGTTCCACGCCTTGGCACAGGTTCAAAGGACTCACATCCTGCATCACAGATACTTGCTCCCCATGTTCACTGCTGCTCTGCTCACCATAGCCAAGAAACAGGCGAC